GATGATGAATGGCCCTTCCCAGAGAAAATAAAAAGAGGAGTGAAAGGGGAGTGGAGTTTGCTGGAGACAATTAGTTCGCTTCATTGGTTTGTGACTCTCCGAGACTCCTTGCCAGGTTTTGCAGTTATCGACCTGTCAGTTCTCCAAGCCAGATAAGGCCTGTGACTATAAATCCTCCCTTGAAAGACTTTGCTGGATGTGAATGAGCAGAATTCACAGTCAGTTAATAAAAGGGTTTTTTGTCAGGACAAGGAGTTTACTTCATGCTCTTGGGAAGCCTCAGTCAGAACTGGAGGCCCAAATGATGGTGCTGAGAATGGTTTGGATTCTACAAAAATAAGAGTACATGTAGTCCTCAACATATGACCTCAATTGAGCTTAAACTCTGTCGCTAAGCAAGACTGTTAAGTATTGCTCCATTTTAAGAGCTTTCTTGCCACAGTTCTTAAGTTAAATCCCTGCAGTTGTGAAGTTAATAACCTGGTTGTTAAGTGAACCTGGCTTTCGGATTGATTTTGCTCGCCAGAAGGTTGCGAAAAAATGATCACATGACGCTGGGACAGTGCAACCTTCATAAATGCATGCCAGTTGCCGAGCGCCTAAATTTTGATCATCTGACCGTGGATATATTGCAACAGTCGTAAGTGTGAAAAACGGTCATAAATCACCTTTTTCACTGCCATTGTAACTTCACTCGTTAAACAAACGGTTGTAACCAGTGGTGGGATTCCAAATCTTTCCCTACCGGTTCTATGAGAGTGCGCTTTGCGCGTGCGCACACAACACTCAAAAGACCGCCCTCGGAGTCAGCGCTGGTGAGCTGAGCTGTTGTTTAGCTCAGCTGAGGTCTATTAATCCATTCTGCCGTGTGAATCAGCTGATATGGTAAAAAGCAAGGGAATATAGGACAGGGAGGGGCGGGAGGGTGGGACCAGCCAGAGGTGGTACTGTATTTGCCGGTTCTCCAAACTACTCAAAAGTTCCACTACTGGTACGCCAGAACCAGTCCAAACCGGCTGAATGCCACCTCTGGTTGTAACTCAAGGCCTACCTGTACATTATCCTCACAAAGGATTCCCAGGAAGAGATGGGATACCTCTTACAAAACAGGGAAGGAGATTTGGGCAAGGAGCTTTACCAATCTCATCAAGGAGGGCAGTTAACTAGAACAAAAGAGGGAAGGTGGCAAAACTCAAGGAATATGCAATCATGAACTGGGGCCCAAGGAAGCTGGAAGCTGGATGAGGTCAGGATGGGGGACTCAGTTTTGCAGGACATTGCAACAGAGATGCCAGTGGGTGGTACCCAAAACTTCAGATGCTTCTATTGTACAGTATTTGGGAGAGGGAAAAAATGGAGCAGTAGAGATGTGGACTCAGGAAGTCAAATTCAATGGTGCAGGTATTACTGAAACTTGGTGGGATGATATTTATGATTGGCACACAATCCTGGAAAGCCACAATTGATTCCAAAGGAGCAGACCCAAGGGGGGGAGAAAGGGGGGGAGTGTTATAGAGGAATCAGAGAATGGAATTCCTGCTAAAAAGTATCTTGGTTAGAATGCTGTAAAAGGAGCAACACATAAACTCTTGGAATCACTGCGATAATCTATTATAGACCAATTGGACAGGCGGAAGATACAGATGAGATCTTTCGGCATCAATATTTTTCAAAAAGGCATGCAATCATTCATGATGATCCTTCTGGGAATCTAACTTTGCCGAGAGTCAAGGGGTCTAAACAAAGTCCTGCCCTCTCTTATCGCCAGCTTTATTTGTCGAAAGAGAGAAGAACGAACAAGGCAGACTTAATTCTCATTTAATCCTGAATCTAATCCTCACCAACAAAAAAAGAATTAGTTGAAGAATTTAAGGTGATTGGTACTTTGGGGGAAAAGGATCCTGTTATCCTTGAATTTTTGATATCTTCTGGAGGAGGAGGAGGAGGAGGAGGAGG